TCCCACAATACCTCACACCCTTCTTTTCCAACTAGGGCCTGGCAAAGAAGGGTGGCAAGAAGAAGAAGGGCCATTCTGCCATCAGTGAGGTAGTGACCAGAGAATACACCATCAACCTTCACAAACGTATCCATGGAGTGGGTTTCAAGAAGTGTGCCCCTCGGGCACTCAAAGAAATCCAGAAATTTTCCATGAAGGAGATGGGAACTCCAGAGGTGCGCATTGACACCAGGCTCAACAAAGCTCTGGGCCAAAGGAAAAAGGAATGTTCCATACTGTATTCATGTGTGGTAGTCCAGAAAATGTAACAAGGATGAAGATTCACCAAACAAGTTCTACACGCTGGTTACCTATGTACCTGTCACCACTTAAAAAAATCTACAGACTGTTAATGTGGATGAGAACTAATCACTGATTAAAGGTAAATTAAAAAAAAGTAGAATAAAGGTATAAAACTGAAAAGAATGGATAAAAAAGCAAGACCCATATATTTGCTGTCTACAAGAGACTCATTTTAGACCTAAGGACACCTGCAGCCTGAAAATGAAAGGTTGGAGAACCATTTACCATTCAAATGGTCCTCAAAAGAAAGCTGGGGTAGCAATCCTCATATCAGATAAATTAAAATTTATCCCAAAGACTGTAGTAAGAGATGAAGTGGGACAGTATATCATACTTAAAGGAGCTATTGAACAGAAGGACCTAACAATCATGAATATTTATGCCCCTAATGTGGGAGTTGCCAAGTACAGCAATCAATTAATAACCAAAGTAAAGACATACTTAAATAATAATACACTAATACTGGGTGCTTTCTGCAAATGACAGATATTCTAAGCACAATATCTCCAAAGAAACAAGAACTTTAAATGATACACTGGACCAGATGGATTTCACAGATACGTACTTTACATCTGAACACAACTGAATACATGTTCTTCTCAAGTGCACATGGAACTTTCTCCAGAATAGACCACATACTGGGTCACAAATCGGGTCTCAACTGATACCAAAAGATTGGGATTGTCCCCTGCATATTTCCAGATCATAATGCTTTGAAACTTGAACTCAATTGCAAGAAGAAATTTGAAAGAAACTCAAACACATGGAGGTTAAAGAACATCCTGCTAAAACATGAAAGGGTCAACTAGGAAATTAGAGAAGAATTAAAAAGATTCATGGAAACTAATGAAGGTACAACCATTCAAAATCTTTGGGATACAGCAAAAGCTGTCCTAAGAGGGAAATACATCACAATACAAGCATCCCTCAAAAAATTGGAAAAAACCTAAATACACAAGATAACCTTGCACCTAAAGGAACTGGAGAAAGAACAGCAAATAAAACTACACCAAGCAGAAGAAGAGAGTTAATAAAGATTCGAGCAGACCTCAATGAAATAGAGGCCAGAAGAACTGTAGAACAGATCAACACAACCAGGAGTTGGTTCTTTGAAAGAACTAATAAGATAGATAAACCATTAGCCAGCCTTATTAAAAACAAAAGAGAAAAAACTAAAATTAATAAAATCACGAGTGAAAAAGGAGAGATCACAACCAATACCAAGGAATACAAACGATTTTAAAAACGTATTATGAGCATCTATATGCCAATAAATAGGCAATCTAGAAGAAATGGATGCATTTCTGGAAAACCACAATACCAAAACTGGAATGGGAAGAAATAGAAAACATGAACAGGCCAATAACCAGGGAGGAAATTGAAGCAGTCATCAAACACCTCCCAAGACAAAAAAGTTCAGGAACTGATGGCTTCCCAGGGGAATTCTATGAAACGTTTAAAGAAGAAACAATACCTATTCTTCTAAAGCTGTTCCGAAAGATAGAAAGGGATGGAATACTTCCAAACTCCTTTTACGAGGCTGGAATCACCTTAATTCCAAAACCAGACAAAGACCCCACCAAAAAGGAGAATTACTGACCAATATCCATGATGAACACAGATGCAAAAATTCTCAACCAGATACTAGCCAATAGGATCCAGCAGTACATTAAGAAGATTATTCACCATGATCAAGTGGGATTTATCCCTGGGATGCAAGGTTGGTTCAACACTCGTAAAACAATCAACATGATAGATCACATCAACAAGAGAAAAGACAAGAACCATATGATCCTCTCAATAGATGCAGAGAAAGCATTTGACAAAATGCAGCATCCATTCCTGATTAAAACTCTTCAGAGTGTAGGGATAGAGGGAACATTCCTCAGCATCTTAAAAGCCATCTATGAAAAGCCCACAGCAAATATCATTCTCAATGGGGAAACACTGGGAGCCTTTCCCCTAAGATCAGGAACACGACAGGGATGTCCACTCTCACCACTGCTATTCAACATAGTACTAGAAGTCCTAGCCTCAGCAATCAGGCAACAAAAAGAAATAAAGGCAGGCAGCCTGGGTGGCTCAGCGGTTTAGCACTGCCTTCAGTCCAGGGTATGATCCTGGAGACCCAGGATCGAGTCCCACATCTGGCTCCCTGCATGGAGCCTGCTTCTCCCTCTGCCTGTGTCTCTACCTCTCTCTCTCTCTCTCTCTGTGTGTGTCTCATGAATAAATAAATAAAATATTAAAAAAAAGAAATAAAAGGCATTCAAATTGGCAAAGAAGAAGTCAAAGTCTCCCTCTTCACAGATGACATGATACTGTACTTAGAAAACCCAAAAGACTCCACCCCAAGATTGCTAGAATTCATACAGCAATTTGGCAGTGTGGCAGGATACAAAACCAATGCCAGAAATCAGTGGCATTTCTATACACTAACAATGATACTGAAGAAAGAGAAATTAAAGAGTCAATCCCACTTACAATTGCACCCAAAAGCATAAGATACCTAGGAATAAACCTAACCAAAGACGTAAAGGATCTATACCCTAAAAACTACAGAACACGTCTGAAAGAAATTGAGGAAGACACAAAGAGATGGAAAAATATTCCATGCTTATGGATTGGAAGAATTAATACTGTGAAAATGTCAGTGCTACCCAGGACAATTTACACATTTAATGCAATCCTTATCAAAATACCATGGACTTTCTTCAGGGAGTTGGAACAAATCATCTTAAGATTTGTGTGGAATCAGAAGAGACCCTGAATATCCAGGGGTGGAAGAGCCAGAGTTCTCTTTCTCTGAAAAAGAAAACCAAAGCCGGGGGCATCATAATGATGGATTTCAAGCTGTACTATAAAACTGTGGTCATCAAGACAGTGTGGTACTGGCACAAAAACAGACACATAGATCAATGGAACAGAATAGAGAACCCAGAAATGGGCCCTCAAATCTATGGCCAACTAATATTTGACAAAGCAGGAAAGGCTATCCACTGGAAAAAGGACAGTCTCTTCAATAAATGGTGCTGGGAAAATTGGACAGCCATGTGCAGAAGAATGAACTAGACCATTCTCTTTCACCAGACACAAAATGGATGAAAGACCTAAATGTGAGACAAGAATCCATCAAAATCCTAGAGGAGAACACAGCAAACACCCTTTTTGAACTTAGCCACAGCAACTTACAAGATACAACTATGAAGACAAGGGAAACAAAAGCAAAAACGAACTAGGACTTCATCAAGATAAAAAGCTTCAATACAGCAAAGGAAACAGTCAACAAGACTAAAAGACAACCTACAGAATGGGAGAAGATATTTGCAAATGACATATCAGATAAAGGGCTAGTATCCAAGATCTATAAAGAGCTTATTAAACTCAACAGCAAAGAAACCAACAATCCAATCATGAAATGGGCAAAAGACATGAACAGCAAATTTCACCAAAGAAGACCTACACATGGCCAACAAGTACATGAGAAAATGCTCTGCATCACTTGCCATCAGGGAAATACAAATCAAAACCACAATGAGATACCACCTCACACCAGTGAGAATGGGGAAAATTAACAAGGCAAGAAACAACAAATGTTGGAGAGGATGTGGAGAAAGGGGAACCCTCTTACACTGTTGGTGGGAATGTGAACTGGTGCAGCCACTCTGGAAAACGGTGTGGAGATTCCTCAAAGAGTTAAAAATAGAGCTACCCTACGACCCAGCAATTGCACTGCAGGGGATTTACCCCAAAGATACCGATGCAGTGAAACAGCAGGACACCTGCACCCCCATGTTTATAGCAGCAATGTCCACAATAGCCAAACTGTGGAAGGAGCCTCGGTGTCCACTGACAGATGAATGGATCAAGAAGCTGTGGTGTCTATATACAATGGAATATTCCTCAGCCATTAGAAACGAAGAATACCCACAATTTGCTTCATCGTGGACGGAATTGGAGGGTATTATGCTGAGTGAAGTAAGTCAATCAGAGAAGGACAAACATTATATGGTTTCACTCATATGGGGAATATAAAAAATAGTGAAAGGGACTATAGGGGAAAGGAGAGAAAATGAGTGGGAAAAATCAGGGTGACAAAATATGAGAGACACTTAACTCTGGGAAAAGAACAAGGGTAGTGGAAGGGGAGGTGGGCGGGGGGATGGGGTGACTGGGTGACTGAGGGGGGCATTTGACGGGATGAGCATTGGGTGTTATACTATAGGTAGGCAAATCGAACTCCAACAAAAAAATACAAAAAAAATTAAATAGGCTGGTATTTTAACAGAAATTAGTAAGTCATTTATCTTAGGGGTGGACACGATGACCTCTCCTGAATCTGCACAGAGCAAGAGAGAATGCAAAATCGATCATTCGAAGAAATTCACCTTGCTTATTGGAACCCCAGACAAATCAAATGCAATCAAAGAAATCTGTCTTAAAGGCATTTCTGCTCCCCAAGTGGCTGAGGGTCTTAGGGGGTTAGATTCAAGCCTAATTCAAGCCTAATACCAGATACCACTGGGTTGTTGACTTCTATCTCCAAGTAGAGGGTCATGTTTGGGCTCCTCTTTGACATCTGTTGGAGGTGAGTGGAGAAAGTCTTTTGGGCCAACCCCCAGCCTCTGCCTGGCTGGCCTCCCCAGTTCAGAACTCACATTTGTTGGCTTTCAGCTTCCTCTCATCCACGGGAATGAGGTCCAAGTAGTCCAGGTAGTACTCGTAGCTGTCGTACAGGGTGGAGGCGTTGGTCTCGTTGGCCATGTCTGCATCCGGAGCTGGTCGGAGCCCTGGGAGAGCTTGGCCAACAGGATTTCTGTAAAGTCATCCAAGTGTGTCTGTGGGTCTCCGGGCTCAAGGCCTGCCCACTTCTCCGAGCTGTTTGGCTGGGAGAAAGGCCAGGGGGCTGTGCCTGACATCTCAGCCCCCACGTAGAACTTTCCACCCTGTCCCTCCTTGATAGAAGTCCAAAATAAACAGAGCTACAAGGCAGGAGACTGAGGTTACCAGCAAAAGCTCTGGGTTGCCCTGAAAAAGGGTACCTGGACCCCTTGAAAAACAAGATGCCTAATAGGACTGGAAGGACACTCGCTGCTTGCTTTATGATTTAAAAAATTAATAAAACCACAGCAAAAGGCTGGCAGTGCCCTTGACTTACATGAAGGCGGTTCTTGGGGCTATTGAGCAACCAGCGAATCACTGCCTTAGATTTAATATCTGAGCACAGAAATTGAGTGATGTCAGCCCTGAACTTAGCCTCTCTCATGTACACATAGCCAGTTAATTAAACCAAGAGTACCCACTTGGCCCAACTGAGAACACCTCCCGGCTTTTATCTAAGCCCCCCAGGAACGAAGCAATCAGCTGCATTTTGTCCCTAGTGAAAAGGCTGTTTGCCTGGGCCGGAATCCCACACAGATCCGGCTCTTAGGCAATAGGGCTGAGAGTTCACCCAGCCTTTGGCCAATAACACGTGTGACAAGGCTTCTTTGAGGTTTCAGTAGGGAATGACTCTAAGTTATCCATTCATTTTTTTTTTTTAAGAGCCTTGGGTGCAATCAAGAGAAATATTCCAAATATTTGGAATGAGCAGGACTCAATGTGAGAGGAGCCCTAGGATTTAGCCTCTGAGAATCATCAGTAAGGAAGTCAAAATTCCCAGAATGGTGGGGCCTTTCCCTCCAATATACCAACTGGTAATGTTAACTCACGTCTACACTGCAGAGTAAAGCCGGGCATTGATAGGGTGCACGTCCCCATCCGCATTTGCTGAGGACTTCCTGTGTCCCCAGCACGATACTAAAGCTTTTGCTGGGACAGTTAGGTTTGACATGTCTTACTTTGAAGGACGGGTTGAACAGAAACAATTGTTCTACTAGATCTTCCTTAATTTGGGTTGTACGTGTTTTGAGCTTTTTATTTAAAAAGATTTTATTTATTCATGAGAGACACACAGACAGAGGCAGAGGGAGAAGCAGGCTCCCTGCAGGGAGCCCGATACAGGACTCGATCCCAGAACCCTGGGATCATGACCTGAGCCGAAGACAGATGCTCAACCACTGAGCCACCCAGGTGTCCCCATGTTTTGATACTTTTAAGCAATTTAATGTATTATCTGTTCCTGTCACTATAATTTTTCCTTTCCTCATTCTAAACTTAGAAAGTTGGAACATTGGGGTCGAGAGGATGTGCAAGACTGGCAGGTGGAGTGGACGCAGGGTGTGAGAGTAGTCGAGTCAGGTTGGAGAGCTTGCCTATCTCTCTACCAATCCCCAAACCCTCCTCCTTCTTGGCTCCTTCAAGATGAAGTTCCCGTTAGCCCAAAACAACTTCTAGTCCTGCCAGGCCCCAGTGCCCTCCTCTCCTCTTTGCTCCAATTACATGTATTTGTCATCACCATCACCCCTTAAAAAAATTCTTTTAAGGGAGCCTGACTGGCTCAGTAGGAGGAACACATGACTCTTGATCTCAGGGTCGTGAGTTTAAGCCCCACGTTGGGTGTAGAGATGGCTTTTAAAAAATAAAATCTTTTTAAAAAGTATTTTAAAATGGAGGTATAATTGACAGTAGATTAAATGTCTAAATTTTACAGATATAGCTTGATGACTATCACATACACACCCTCACACACATACTCACACACAACGATCACTCACATCAAGATAGAGAACACATTCCTTCCTGTCAGGTAACCACCTCCACCCTCCCCCCACCCCCAACACACACAGCAAGGAAACCACTATTTCGGCTTCTATCATCACAGATCAGTTTTGCTCAGTTTCAAACCTCAACTAATCTAATCTAATCTAATCTAATCTAATCATACAACACAATATGTATCCTTTTGTGTCTGGTTCTTTATTCACCAGATTGCTGCATGTACCAGTCTTTGTTCTTTTATTTTCCATATGGTGTTCCATTATATGAATGTTCCATAATGCATTTCTCCATTTTTCTATTGATGAACATTTGCATTATTTTCTGGGTTTGGTAATTATGAATAAATGGGTTATGGACATTTTCTTTCTTTCTTTCTTTCTTTCTTTCTTTCTTTCTTTCTCTTTCTTCTTTTTTATATTAAAGATTTTATCTATTGATTTGACAGAGAGAAAGTAAGCAGACAGAGCAGCAGGCAGAGGGAGAAGGAGAAGTAGGGAACCTGATGCAGGGCTTGATCCCAGGACTCCAGGATCATGACCTGAGCCAAAGGCAGCTGCCCAAACGACTGAGCCTCCCAGGTGCTCCTGAACACTTTTTTCCATGTATTTGGTAGACATAAGCACTAATTTCTCTTGAGTATATATCAGCAATAGAATTGATAGATAGCTTTACTAGGTACAACTAAATCGTCTTCAAAAGCATCAGTGCCAATTTACACTCCCACAAAGTACTATATGTATGGCATATTGCAAGAATGGCTACAGTTCTTTTCCGTGTATACACAGGAAAAGCACATGTCTCTGCTGTGCTGCAGATCAGTCTTGATCTCAGGGTCATGAGTTCAAGCCCCGCTTTGGACTCCACACTGTTCATGGAACCTACTTAAAAAAAATAAAAATAGGGAATCCCTGGGTGGCTCAGCAGTTAAGCGCCTGCCTTTGGCCCAGGGCGTGATCCTGGAGACCTGGGATCAAGTCCCATGTCAGGCTCCCTGCATGGAGCCTGCTTCTGCCTCTGTCTCTCTGTCTCTCTGTCTCTCTCTCTCTGTGTCTCTCATGAATAAATAAATAAAATCTTAAAAAAAAATAAAGAATAAAAAATAAATAAAAATAAAAAAGGTACTAGCCAAACCTTTCCATGTGTCCGTGCTCCTGTACCCCTGCCCAGTCCCTGTGTGAATAAAAGCAAGCAAGAGTACCCAGAGCAATCTGGATAATCAGAGACCTCTTGCCCAGTCAACAGCCAACTATCCCCCCTTGGAGCAGAGCACCCTAGCTGGCTGGCTGCTAACTGGAGACCCATGAGTGAGCGTAGCAAAAATCTTATTTTCACTTTACTGAACTGATTTTCAGAATTGTGAGATTTTTGAGCTACATGAATTCTTTTTCCTCTAAAGCACTAATTTTGGAGTGACTTGTTCCACAGAAAAATGTCATTGATAAAATATGAATGTTTCAGTTGCTCTATCTCTTCACCAACCTTTGTTATTGTCAATCTCTGTCATGCTTAGCTATTCTAGTAATGTCTACCGCATTTTAACATTCACTTGTGTACACGTCCTAACTTCCCTTGCTACTCTTAAAAGTTTTTGAAGATGAAGACCACACTTTACACAGTAGCTGTAATATCAGTATTTGTTGACAGCACCAATCATACTAATAGGTGAGACAAGCCAAGCTTATTTCTAAAAACCGGAAAACTTAAGGCTGCAAAGAATAATGTAATTGTCAATGAATCCGGGTCCTTGGCCTAAAAATTATGAAATCAGAGCCCATTCAAATGGTTCTTAGTAATTGTGGAGTGGCATGCATCACACTAACTGGCCCACAGATAACAATGACAAAATCTGGAAAAGATTCGTCATCCACAGTGTTCAGAATATCGTAAACAAAACAAAACAACCCCCTGGAATGACAAAGACACAGGAAAGCTGTGACTTCTGGTGTGGAGAAAATGAAGTCAATTGAAACCAACTCCAAGGTCGTCTAGATATTGGAATTAGCAGACAAGGACCTTAAAGCAACTATTATAAATACGTCCACCAAAGACCTAAACAGGAAACATGACCAGAGTTAATGAACAAATGGGGGAATCTGAGCAAAGAAAGGAAACCTAAAAACAATGATCAAAAAAAAAGAGGAAAATCCAGACTCGAAAAGTATAGAGTCTATAATGAAAACTTCACGGGATGGGCTTAACACAGTAATGAAGATGATAGTAGGTATGGTTGGGGAACATGAGGAGCAATAATTAGAACTTATCCAGGGACACCTGGGTGGCTCACTGGTTGAGTGTCTACCTTTGGCTCAGGTCGTGATCCCCCCCAGGATCCTGGGATCAAGACCCAAATCGGGCTCCTCACAGGGAGCCTGCTTCTCCCTCTGCCTGTGTCTCTGCCTCTCTCTCCGTATCTCAAATAAATAAATAAATAAATAAATAAATAAATAAATAAATAAATAAAATCTTAAAAAAAATAAAAAGGAACTTATTCAATCTAAGAAACCATGAGAAAGATTTAGAAAATGGACAGATTCTGTGATATATGGAACAGATAAAGCAGCCTTGCATATGTATAAGTGATATTCCAAAGGGCAGGAAAGAGAGGATGGGGTAGAAAAAAATTTTTTTAAGGAATAATGGCTGAACATTCCCTAAATTGGGTGAAAAACATAAATTTGGGGATCTAAGATGCTTGGCAAACCCCAAAGGGAATAAATAGGATGAAAATCACATCTAAGCATATCCTACTAGGCAGGGATAAAATTTAACTCAAAGACAGCATAAAGGTGAAAAATCTGCATGTGTTTAATGAGAGAGCACAAAATACATGAGACAAAAACTTAAGGTATTAACAGGAGAGAGGAAAATCTGCAAAGCTGGTTTTTAAACACTGCGAGGGGGGGAATCCCTGGATGGCTCAGTGGTTTGGCGCCTGCCTTTGGCCCAGGGCGCCATCCTGGAGTCCCAGGATGGAGTCCCACATCGGGCTCCTGGCATGGAGCCTGCTCCTGTGTCTCTGCCTCTCTTTCTCTCTCTCTCTATCATAAATAAATAAATAAAATCTTTTAAAAAAATAAATAAACACTGCGAGGTCAATCTTTGATAGAATAATTAGACAAGGGATGCCTGGGTAGCTCAGTGGTTGATGTCTGC